TATTACGAGGTCATTGCCATCGCCTATCGATAGTCGGAGGTTCGCCGTGCCATCTTTAAAGCCAATATCAATGAAGGAGCCCAGGGGTAATTGCCATCGCCTATCGATAGTCGGAGGTTCGCTGTGCCTTCTCTAAAGCCAATATCAATGAAGAAGCCCAGGTGTCCTGTGATGAAAAACGTATTAGCGACTTCGCGAGTCCCGACCTGACACTTCCCTACTCAAGGAAAAAACATTTGCTGAGCTATGGGTAGCGGCTGTCTAGTAAACTCGTTCCCTCTATGAGGACTGTACCCTAAGTACTGAATGTTGACAGTAGTTTTAAAGAGCACCGCACTCAATTTGTGCACTGGTTGAGAACACCAAATCACCTTCCCCATCCACCAAATCCTCAAACCAATTCTAGCGTAGCAGGCGTTTGAATAGAGTGTCTTTAAATGCTTGATATTGTGAAGTATAGAGTACATAGTCGGTGGCCTAGTAAAACCCATTCCTTCAAGCTCATGCTGCTAACAGCCCTCATCTCCAAGAGACAGCAGTAACTGCTACCGACATCGTCTCCAGCGTAGCAGTTTTCAACCCTGTTTTGCACTGCTCTCGGCGACTCTGCCTCGTCTCAAGATGTAAAAAAGGCCAATAAGCAACACCGACACCGGGGCAATCTTGCCGAAGTGGAATCAAACTTTCATTAGGCTTGATATGAGGGTATCCTGATTTTTATTTACTTTATCGTCTACGACTAACAGTCACTTGTGTAGGTATCTGATACAGCCGACTCACAAATCGTACCACATGGGGGTAATCCACTCCTTGATCTTTGGGCAGCGCCGGCGGGCAACGACCTTCCTACAACTGACCCTCATGAGCTGTCCGGCTGCGGTAGCACATGAACCCTCTTTAAAGGTCTCGGTAGTACTAAAAAGGTCAGTTCTGATGAGCTCACTGAGCCACGCCATCGCACTGAGAACTCCGCACCTCAGCACCAACACTAGGCTTCAGGGAGTGACGGATACGCTTCTTCGTTATCAATAGAGCGCTTCCAGCCGACTGACTTGCTATGTAGGGGTCATTGTATGTTTGAAGCAAGCTTTGATATGGTAAATTTATTACTCAGTCCCTATTCGCAATGACCGTGATTGCTTGATGCAGATTTGGCCCAACATAGTCTTGAAGACCGCAGATACTGCATGTGTAGCCTTTTATCATGTGTCTCTGGTGCCGGCATGATGCTTTCGAGATTTCTTGGCTGTCGGTAGTCGCGTCGTGCATTCGGCACAATACGCTCTACTTCAGAGAAATACAATGTGCATTCTCTTACAAAGTGTAGTGGAGATAATTTCAGCGATTTTCCTACAAATCTTCTCCCATTAAGACTGAAGGAGCTTAAGGCCAATGTCAAAAGAACACAGAGGCGAACTACTCCACTTACTATAAGTCAGGTAGAGCCTTAATTTACTGCGTGATTTAGCTCAAACGCGATGAGTAAAGATATTGCTCTCAAGCTTCGTAATCTTGTTCTCAGATATTCCAGAGGATATTCTGTGCAACGCGATTAATACGATTATTCTGATACATATCGATAATTGGCCAGCAACCCACAACTACATCAATCTCATTTACGCAAGCTACACCAGTAGTAACCACGACTGTACATTCAAGATACCGTTGATATTGTGAGAAAGTTGCCTTGCAATAAGCTTTCAAACGATCTTTTCTAGCCAAAAGGTCAAATAAAATTACAGCTTCTTCTGCGAGCAATTTATCACGGCCTGTTAAATGTGGTAGCTAGAATATTGCAAACGGTTCGTCAAAACTTTAATGGTCATGAGCAAGCCGGGATGGTAAAATCGTTGTCAAGGTATAGCTTCGCTGTTTTGTCATTGGTCTCGGTTTCTCTCACATTTATTAATGAGGTACGCCATTTTGCTCAAATGGTTAAAAAAGACCACAACGACGGTATCACCGGACGCGTCTTTTCGAGAACCGGCAATAGATCCCACACCGACGGATCGCTGCTAGCACTCTGACGGAGCTGACGGTCGGACTAATCACGACGACACATTTGAGGACGATTGATCCATTGACACATATTGCTGGAGGATTTACATGTTGTGCCACCCTTGCATAGCGCCCACCGAAGAAAGGAGGCATCATATTGCTCGTGCGGTTTTCTATACTTGGGTTTCTATCATAAGTTATCGTAGTAGGTCAGCGTTGAATTGGTCAAATCTATGACACAAGAAGCATTAGAAGGACATCGCGTTTCGAACTTACAGTCGCATGCTCTGATAAAGCGACATTTGGGTCTCCTTTTTTGCTCTTAGAGCTTTCAGCAATGCAACACAAGTTGCATGTGGCTTGAATTCTCAACGCCTCATCAACTAGTGACGTCACCATCGATCATTCAACGCAAACGCGCATCCGACACCACAATGACCCGACCCAGTTTACAAATTACCTCGAAATTTATTCGACAAAGAAGCGTAACCATCTTACTATCCTCTGTGAAAGTTTTGGTGATGATGACCGATAGTCAGGCAAGTAAAAATCTGGACTATGCAAGCGCATTATTTATTACGCGTAGCTGCTCGGCGTAAGCTAGGTTGTTCAGCTTTGCCGCTTCAAGATGGAGAGGTCAGGAAATCGATGATTTTATAATGCATATTGACATCTGATTGAAGTAAGTATAGAATTCTGAGGAGTCACAAATGTCATGGAATACTGGTATCTAGAATCAGAAAAAACACGAGCATTAATGATTACCTAATTTAACTAGCCCCACCACGATTAAGCATTTTTCTTAATAGATAAGTGAGAGGCCGTGCCAAATTGGCATTCTTTGCACTACACTTGTGCACATTTTTGGCTAACTCCGAGCCATTTGGGATAGCGGCAATAGACAGTCTTTATTAGCCTTATCTCTGTGAATTTTGTCCAAGGATCATGTAATTAATGAAGCTACTCAAAAAGGGATTGTGTTGATCGAAATGGCGCACTTGTCTGGCACCAAATACCATTTTGTAAGCGCATACACCCGAGTACTGCTCGTAAGTGTTAAATGTAGGTCTTCACATTCGAGTCCCGAGCACGACATACGACAGGTAAATTGCCTCTGATAGTTTGTGCATATGCGACATTAAATTTTAAGCCCATGTAGTGTTGGATGGTTCTAATAGTTCAACTACTTCCTCAAACACTACCGCACTCAAAGCACTTACTAAAATGAAAAAAATAACGCTGTCTCTCATGTGCAGTTGATGGTCATCATTAGCCAGTCAAGGAGCTAAACAAAATGCACCAGAAAATAAGGTTTTGCAGCCTAACCGTTTCAAAATGACATCTATGCCGAAACATTAGTTGCATTGATCTTATTGAAAGCGTGCTTAATTGACCAATTGTCGCTAGACTTGCTAACACAGAAACTCGAGAGTTTACTTTTTCTTACCAAGGCCCGCGTTGTGCTTTTATGAAAGAAATCGTCTAAGACATGACTCTGTTGCCTTGGTTAGAGCAACTCCAGTGCGTCGCAGTAGCTAATTCTGGTAATGAAGCCAGCTTTGTGAAGCATTTTCCGATTTGAGACAAGGTGTAGGACGTTGTCTGCACAATCGTCGTGATTTTCCGCATAACAATAGGTGTCCACGCCTCGCACTTTGTACAATAAAAGTGTTCTGAAAAACGGATGACGAGATGAGCTTCTATCCAATTCAAATCAAACCGATTCAGTAAATTTTCTGTTCTAAATTTATTGCCAACAATATATATATAATCGTCTGGACTCAATGTAATCTTCTGCTGGAGGTAGTGGTTGAGACTTACTGGCCTCCGGACTACTTCAGCTACTGCATAAACGAGAAAAATACCTTTGCTACGTTTTTGTAGAATTTACCGCTCCGCACGGTAGTACTTACTCAGTATTACGGTCACATCGTGATTTTGCTTGAAAATCTCAGGGCTTAATTTTTTGTAGATGAATAACGGTTACCCATCGTCAACCGTCAAGGCGCCATATACCGCAACACACACATGCTATTTCTCGTTTCAGCCGACTCTGGCCCAAGAAACCAGACACGCGATCTCTCTGATTATCTGCCGGCTTTTGCACCGGATTCATTAGCATATATACATCTTAACCTTTTCACCGAATATGCACTCGATACTTTGTCGTTCTTTCCTGAATAAGCAGCAGTAAACTTTGAAGATCGCAATGCACGATCATGTATATTTCTTATCACAAGACGGCTATCACTGTCGCGTCTACCTTTAAGCTTTGCCTGAAAACCATGCGATAATTAGCTAGATATCCTGGGTAACTGACATTTGACATGTCACGGTCGCAGATGCACGAAGTCTGTATCTGTATTTGGCATCTTCAATACCTTTGCGTGAATTTTACGTTTTCTGACAATTGTGGCACGTCTTGGGGTCCTAAATAAAACCCGACCCTTCGTACCTCTCAGCAGGGCTTAACTGCTTTGTATTATTACAAATGTAACAATGGCAAATACCGCAGAGGGATCGACAGCCGCAACATTTATCTTTCCCTTCAGTAGGGATGAGCCATATCGCCTCTGACGCATCCATAGAGCTACGAACGACATCTTTCAAGGATGTGCTTTAAGACTGATTTATTGTTTACGATTTTTTGTGCTGTTGATCTAATTGATGCTTATTGCCAACTACTTCTGACTGACAGTAACAACCCTCTCACTACCATGAGTATTCCGAAAGAGATGCTCTCGAGTGGCTAATTATGGCCTACGATATATCTGACATTTTATTGTCTGATGCCACAATTGTTCGAGCTACATCATCCTGAAACCCACATTTAACTCGACGATAAATCGGATGTAAACATCCGCACGCACTTGAGCGTGGTGATCGAGTGCATTTGCTCGAGCAATCCGATCGCCAAAATGAAAAGGGAGTCTTTGATACCAAAGATGAAGTTGAGCATATCGTTGCGAGGACACCTACAATGACCACGGCCGTTGCAGATTGGTCAGTGCCGCTATTATTACGAAGCAATTTTGTGAAGTGGCCGAGCAACTGTTTGCACGCGTAGAAAGCCCTAACTAATCGCTTTAAAGTTGATGTCAAGATTTCAATTCAGTATCTGCCACTTCGAGGTATCTTAAACACTTAGCTTACGCTGTAGGCCGTTCATTACTTATACGTTTAACCGATGAGCACAAATATGTTATCGTATTTGAGTATGGCCAGCTCAAATTTTTTTTTGCTGATTAATAGGAGATTTTTGCACTGTTGTATGGTCTTTTCACATTGAAAATACAGCCAATTTCCTTAGCTGTAAGCCACTGGAGATCTATCATGACCACCTCAAAAATGCATACGGCTATGTATTGGCGACACTTCATGAACTCATTTATAAGCAAGTACGTACACACGTGCAAAACGTGTCAACGAGCTAATCTGCGTCGAAGCCTCTGATCAGTTTACCGATTCCGGTAGAATGTTGGCAGTCCATTCGTGTGGAGTTTATCGTTGGTCTTTCATGAGACATGCACAATATTATCCGTATCGTTTTTTTTTGAACCGTCTGAACAAAAGGTTGCACCTTGCTGCTGTCAGCATATCTAGTAACGTTGACGATACAGCCAAACTGCTTCTCAACAAGACTTTTTGATGGTCAGTGTACCAGATCTGGTTCTGCGCTTTACAAGAATGCTGTGGCGAGACTTGTTCAACATGTCTGGCACCACATTGGATGTGTTTCTATGGTTCCCCGCAGAAAATTGGTCAGACGGAGCGCGTAAATCGCGTTGTGGAGGATATTCTCCGAACCTTTTGCACTCAGAGATTGAGATGCTGGAGCGATTTGTTTCCGCTCGTTGGTCTTGTCATGAACACACCGCTCAAGCTTTGACCGATTTTAGACAGATGGTCTGGGTAAAAACCGTATCCTTTGATATCTTACGAAATGGCTCCAGTCTTTTCAGAATATTTCAGCATGCGTCGACTTGATGATATCACTCCCTAGGAAATTTTAAGATATCTTTACGATTTAAACGGGGTGTAATCCATTGGGTGCGCGACGAGATGGCAGAGATTAATGGTGTGAAAACAGCTTGCAGATGATACACACACGAAGTTGTCGCGGCAAAAAATAGCTTTGTCGCGGTGAACCAATCTACTCTGTAATCTGTAGACTATGCTGCGATCCACTAAATTGGATCCGTATACGGTCATAGCTAAAAGGGGTTGAGATTTAGTCTCACAAGTTTAAGCAATGTGTATATATCGTGTGTTTTATGTGGACATTTTGATGCCCACGGTTCCGCTCTTTCGCACTATTCGGATATCGAGCGGTTTCATAATAGACAAAGTGACGTCTTAGCCATCTTTTGTAGCTAAGTAACCTTCTGCTCTAGAATAGCGATACAGTTTTGAGCCTATTGGGATGCCTTAAACCAGCCAGTACGATTGCGTGACTCACAGAGCGCAGTCGAATAAGACTGAGGTCATTATCGTCCCCACGCCTTGACTTTCAGATAGAATTTTGAAACTGCCACCATAATGAAGAAAAAATCTCGGGAGTGGGTCGTTCTTCACTGGCTCTGATTAGTAAGGGATGGCCGACTTCCGTGTAGAATGTTTAGTTGGTCGGCAGGGACACCAGAATTACACCCAGTATCAGGTGAAGAAAAACAGAAATTCTTGGTCAAAGTCTCTTAAGATATAGAGATTCTATTCGTGCAGATTGTCCTAGTCTCGTTACTTTTGAGCACTTTGATTTCTTGGAGAGAAAAACCAGGACTGCTCATAGTAGCCTAACTTATTCAGAGTTGAAACTTGGGCAGGCAGTAGTACCAGCGGGTTCATGAAGACGGAAAGAGCTGTTTGCAGTAATGATTAGAGACATTGCGTACTTACTCGACTCCAAGTCATGTTTGGGTCGCGATGCCAACCACGAAACGACGCTCGAGTCAGATGTGTTGGTGGGTATAGCTGATTGTGACAAGAATCGAAGGGTAAATCCGTATCCTCTCTAAGAACCCTACCTCTGGTACTAAGATCCGGCAAATGCGCCAAAGCATTTATGACTCGGTCAATGCGTTAGGTAGACAAGTCACTCCGCCTCACATCCTTTACGGCTTGACAAACCAGCTAATAGTAACGCCACGGTTTGCTAGAGCGTCGTTCAATGCCAAAAATTGAAAACACAAAACATGACGATGAATTCAGGATAACAATTCACCATATCTGATTTGTTTCGTAAGCAGCTACCTTGTTCGACTGAAGCACGGTATCAAGCTCGAAATTGCGATGTGCTAACGTTGAAGTCAAGGTAAGTACCTACAATCTTACAATTTGCTGCAAACAATCCCATCTTCATGAATCCGCTGATACAGCTGTCTAGAAAAGTATCAAGTTAGAAATAGTTAGGCTACTCCGAGTAATTCTCCTTTTTTTCTGGGGATTACGTGAGAAAGTAAGTTCAGATATAAGAATTCTAGGACAATTCGCCTACTTGGGACGTCAATTTTTCGTGATTTTTCTAGTCATGCATCTTCGTTTTACTACACCCGATACCGGTTGTGGCGCAATGTTGGACGACCAGCTCCCAAGCTCTTGTTGGTTATGGTGGCACGTTAACACACAAAATCCATGGTGACAAATGATCATGATGTCAGTCTTTGTTAGACTGTGCTCTATGACCAACGCAACCCAACCGATTGGCTTGAGGCATCCCAATTGGATCAGAACTGTATCGCTCCCGAGGGCAGGAGGTCACTACGCCATAGAAGATGTTTGAGACGTCAATAAACCGCTCAATGAGCGGAATCGTGTTGGGAATTAAAATTTACTCTTGAGCTAGTGAGAATAAAGCTTAATCTCATTCTAGCTACGACCGTTTACGGCCAAATTGGTGAGGTCGCGACATTGTATTTCTGATTACAAATAAGATAGTTGGACCGCGATAAATCCAACAATTCATTCACGGCGAATTCATGCGCTCCATTTACAAGCTGATTTGGACATCATAACTCTATGTCATAACGTTACACACTCAATGGATACTTTTCAATTATGATGTGGTACAATCCTTAGATTTCCTATGGAGTGATATCATCAAGTCAACTCATATTGAAATATTAAAAAAACAAAGCCATTTTGCAAGGATGTCAAACGACACGAGTTTACCCAGATCACATGAATAGAATGGGGGAAAGCTTGGGAGATGTTTTCCTCGCCTTTCATCGCAAAATTAATGAGCGAAAGCATTTCGCCTCAGCCACTCAGTCTCTCTGTGCAAAAGGGTCTAAGAAAATCCTTCACAACGCAATCTAAGCGCTCCGTGTTACCGTGTGCCTTGATTTAGTCACAGTAGACAGGTGTAATGTGGTGCCAAACATTTTAAACAATTCTCGCCACAGCTAAATATAACGGGAATTTTCCGTCCGTATCCTCGCACCAACTGAGGAAACCTGAAATCGGTAAACACATTTTACCCCGTGTTGCTAACTTACAGCGAGCCGTTGGTTACGTAAGCGAGGAGGAAAAGGTGAAGTGACATTCATCATGGCCAATATGTCTTAAACCCTCCCTAACATGATATCTACCTCCAATATTGATATAGCAAAATTGAGGATTATACAACTAGGCAATATATGTATAGTCATGTTGACCACACACAAAAGTATGTGGTTTACAGAGCATGTGTAATGGGACTGACCCAATTACTCGAATCTAGATCCGGCACACTGTCCATCGACAAGCCATGTTGTCGATGAACAGTTTGGTGCATCATAATGAGTAATAGATCTTTTGACAGCAGCATGGTGAACCCTTTTGTTCAGACTGTCCGCAAAAACCACATTACGGGTAATATTGGGCACGTCTAAGAAACACAATACGGGTAATATTGGTCACGTCTCGTGATGGACCAACGATAAAGTCCATGGAAATGGACTGCCAAAATTCTACTAGAATCGGTAAATTGGTCAAACGTCCAACGTCCGTGACAAGGAATTAGCCCGTTGACACGTTTCACACGTGCGTTTAGAAGTGCTTACTCGGATACCCGTGATGGATCATCAGTACGCAGCGATCGCTGAGGAAAAACTTCTTGTTGACTTGGTGGTTATTTATTGAAATTTTGTGTGCCTTGTACAGTATTCCGAACTCAAGGACAATTAAATCCTTATAAGGGCTAGTCATGTAATTACCAGAATAGCTTAAGGCCAAGGATAGCGGTGTAAGCATACGACCAATACTTTAATTTACGACATCTGAGCTTATATATTGATTTCTTCTCATAAAATTCCAATGATACAATGTGGCAATTGCAGTTTTCGGTGAGCGAGGCTTTCAGTCAAGAATATAGCACAAGTTGACAATGTGACCCGGACGTTGTACATATTGCCTTATCGATGCGCATTGTACCATCATCGCTTGTGACAGCTCATAGTCTGGGCGATGTAAAACGCGTTCGCTACAACATCGCGCTGACCAGGCTTTGAAGGATTATTTGGCAAGGACAATTTGTCAGCTCTGTGTGATGCGGTGACGACGTCGATGCGTGCAACAGTGCGTGGTCTCTTTATGGTTAGAAGCAAGCAGGTACAACCTGAACTTGACCATTTCATTGCACGTTGTTACTTCTCGTGGGCCTGATAGTTCTTTTCTAACGCTGCAAGCTGGTAAGACTCAGACCCAGTCACGCGTTAATACCGATCGGCATCTGGGTAGAGCAGAACGATATCGGAGTGTCTACGAGACTATTTTTCACTTCCTCAACTGATGTCTTTGCCGTGCCTCAGCAGCATTTGACACCCTTTAAGAAGATTTAAATGAGATCATGCTATGTTGGTAGTATTTTGCATAATACTTCTGCAAGTACTTGGGCAGGCCAGACCACCTCCTTAGGTCCCTAAAGATAGCGGCATCGACCAATCCATAATGGCCTTCATCTTCGGGTGGTGTAGCTGCAAACCATTCTCGCCGTAAAATATCATAGAGATGGGATAACGTCAGTGCCAAAGACCCACTGGGTTGAAGAATAGCTAATTTAAGCGCATAACTCGAGCACTGCGAGTTTTTTTTGGTGTGCCTACCATCACTTATCCATGCTTTGCACAATTGTAGTGTCGAAAGCTTCGTGACGATCTAAACAGATCCGTCGAAATTATCTTGAGAGCCGCACGAGCATTCGCACTTAATTGCGTTTTTGCTACGTTTTTTGCTACGTACCTTGACTTTTACAGGGTCTCACAGCTGCAATGATGGCAAAGTCTTTTATAAAGAAAAGAAGCATGTCAAACAAGTCAGGCTTACTTTTGGATTCGTGCACTGGGATCCAAGCAATGTTATAGCTCGATAGCATTGTGAACTGTATAAAAGTGAGCTTGGTGAGTTTAGCGCGGACAACAGCACATAACTCTAAAATCAGACCGAAGTGATGTTTCGTGTCGGTGTCGCGCGGCGATGAAATGCTAAGCAACACTGAGGCTGGGACAAAATTGTATGTTGACGGTTATTCTTATTCATGAAACTGCAAAGCGCCCAAGCAAAAAACGCCCTGCTGGTAACTGTCAATTATGACGTGTGTAGCCGAGCGTTGTATCGTGTTGTCGTCTTGTGCATTAGAGCGTTGTGATCTGGTAGGTCTTAGCATTGAAACTCGAAGCTGCATGTTGCTGCTAATGACCCGGAGGTGCTGGCTGGTGTGGAGAAGGTGGCTGGAATATAAACATTGACCTACAAACAATCTCATACTTATTGCTTCTATGTAGTCCTACTGCTCAAAGAGAAAGTCCGATTAATTACCTCGTTGCAACGTCGATGCCAATTTTAAAGTGCTTGACTATCCTACTACTTCCTTACGATGCCCGTAGTACAAGTTTCTATATACGTAAATGGCAGCCACAAGTCCAAGATTATTATCTGTCTAATAAATAGGTTGATCAAGAGAAGTCTCTTGCTAAAGCTAGAATCTCTTAAGTTCGGCTGATAAAAAAAAATTAAATTATTTTACACTTTACGCTGATATTTCCGTATAAATTTCATGCAACCGATCCTGTGGTGCAGTGGTTCGCCGCTCATTTCAGGATCGGGAGGTCCC